TCACACTTAAAAGAAAAAAAAAATCTGATATTTAAAGAGATATACGTGGAAATAAACAGGACTGTAAATGTATAACAAATGAATCTAAAGACAAACATTACTTTTTACTTTTCATTACAGATGACATATTCTCATAAAATTTAAAGTATATTTTGAAAACTACGCATTAGATATTCAAAATTCTTTAACTATTTTTATTTATTATTATGTTTATTAGAAATTTTAATGTCGTTCATAAAGGATTCTTCTTTATGTGCCATGACCCTTCAGGACGTTAGCGATCATGGCTCTCCACAATTTCTTGTCCTTTGTAACTCTAAATAAATTTTGCCTTTATGTTAGTTCTCCTAAACCCTGTTCCGCCATCTATTTATTGAAGTTCACTATGTTACACTCTGTTTACCTCTGTCCCCCTTGCCTTCAATCTTTCTTGTGAGTATCTAATTTTCCAAGCCCTCTTTCCTCATTATGGACTATTGAAATTTTAACTGTCACTTTCTGATTTTAAGTATAAGTTTACATTTTGTTTCCATTTTCTCTAAAATTTCGTCGTTTCTTACATATTCCATCCATGATATATGCACCACCCTTTTGTAATAACCAAATTTTTGTTGCTTCATGTTTCTTCTTCATCTTCGAGGAGATTGTTCAGTATTCACAGCCATATAGAAGAACTGATATCATTTCGGTAATCTTTTCTTTGTTTCTAACGAAATCAGTCTGTTTCTTAATACTCTCTTTAGTTTTTGGAAGGCAGCTTTAGCTTTCCTAATGCGCTTTAGGATTTCACTGTCGCATTTTCTGTCCTCTATTAAAACACTTCCCAGATATCTATTTTCTTTTTTTTTTATTAAAACACTTTCCTGTTAATATACAAGTAGATATTCAAATCAACTTGTAAACTGACACTTGAAAGGAATATATTCGTTATATATACGGGCCGTACGGAGCAGAATACACTGGGAAGTAGATGAAATGTAACAAAAGCAGTTGGCATCATCACCTCTTTTCGACACCCACTCCACTACGTCTTTTGAATAATTTCGCCAACTGAAAAAAATTCTCAGGAATTTTCCTTTGCAGATCGATAAAATGAAGTAAGTGAGTAAGTACCTTTTCTTAGAGACGAACTTTGTCTGCAAGCCAGATACCAAAACTCCCTTTTGGAATTGTTGAAAAGACTACTAATAACCATTCCTTCTTGGGAATAACACTGACGCACAAATCAGCAATATTTCTGTCGATCACCACATCGGGAAATTGACTCCCTCGATGAATAAATCCTACGTTGTTGTTTTTATGATTAAATATGGATTGATTATTCTGAAATTAGCTTCCCTCATTACTTTTCACGTATCTCATCCACTTTACTCCTGACGGCGTTTCGACAAGCTTCGCGTAAGACTTTCTCACATCAAAAATTGTTATAGTGGAACACACCTATTCTATAGTTAATAGACTCTCCCACCTATATTAAGTAGGAGTAGTAAGAGTAACGTCGGTCGCTCAGTGAGTCGGTCAGTCAGTCGATGCCGGACGACCGTTAATCGAATACTAAAGTATCAGCGATCACAACTAGATTACTCTGCGTAAATACCTATTATATCAAGTTCCTAACGTTTTGTACGTCGAAACTAATTTAGGACCGAGAATACAAGTCTCCACTGTGAAATCACTCCACAACAAAAAAAAAAGACATCGTGGGCGGAGAAGATCGCCAGGCAGAGGCACTGACCATGTCTCATGCCTACGGGAGACAAGATAATTATATCAGGAGATATGGAGTGTTAAATATATCATCTTGTTATCCACATATTTGCCTACCGTTCGCCCCAGTAGTCAGTTTCTTGTTTTGAAAACTAAATGGTTTCATTTTCTTCGTTGACACCACAAAAATTAAGAAGATATATTTTTTATACGCAACGTAAACGGTTTCACAATGTGCATTTTTGCTTTACCCTACTCTGTCTTTTCAGCCGCACTTGATTCCCTAATAAGTTGCATAACTGAAGACACAAGAGGGGCATTCGAGCCGATGAATCGTGCAACGTGGTTAAATGAACAGCTATTGCTAGGCAACAGAAAAAAAAGAATTTTCTGACTGATAATAAATAAATTAAAGAACCATCTTATGCGCAAGACGACAAAGTAATAGAAACCTTGATACATTGGGTGTTTTGTGAAACATAAGTTGAGAATTATTAGAAGGTCGGTTAGAGATAACAGATGAGAGCGAAATGTTCATGCCTTTCGTATCCAGTTAGCGTTCCATGATGACAGATGCTTGTCAATTAGAAGAGAAAAAGAAAAAAAAAAAATGCTAACATAATGAAAAGCAAGAAAAAAAAGAAAAGAAACTAAATTATAACAAATGACTGATGTGAAAGCAAAAACGGAAAAACAGAGAGTGGGAAAAGCAAAAGGAATGAAAAAGAAACTGTGTAAAATGACAAACGAAAAACTAATAATTAAGAGAAAGAATGGAAAAAAATAGATGGGAGGAAAGAGAAAAACAAAATAGAGAAGGAGGAAAGAGAGAAATATGGAGAGAGGGAGGAAAGAGAGAAATACAAACAAAATAGAGAAAGGAAAGAGAGAAATACAAACAAAATAGAGAGAGGGATGGAGAAAACAAACAAAATAGAGAGAGGGAGTGAAAGAGAGAAATACAAACAAAATAGAGAGAGGGAGTGAAAGAGAGAAATACAAACAAAATAGAGAGAGGGAGTGAAAGAGAGAAATACAAACAAAATAGAGAGAGGGAGTGAAAGAGAGAAATACAAACACAAAAAGAAGAAATACAAACAAAATAGAGAGAGGGAGGAAAGAGAGAAATACAAACAAAATAGAGAATGGAGAGAAATACAAACAAAATAGAGAGAGGGAGTGAAAAGAGATCAAAATAAAGAGAGAAATACAAACAAAATAGAGAGAGGGAGTGAAAGAGAGAAATACAAACAAAATAGAAGAATTAGCGAGAAAGAGAAAATGGAGAGAAAGAGAAAAGATCAATATTTAGAGTAGGAAAGAAAGAAGAAAGAGAGGAATAAGTTATATACAGATTACCTCTAAGAACGTCCTTATAATTTATTCATTGTGGCCTGTATAGACCAAAAAGAGTAAAAGAATTTAGAATAGAGTATGAATACAAAAGTAAATGGCAATAAAGTGAATAGGATCAAAAGAATAAAACAATAAAATGAAAAGAAACTGAAATCGATACGAAGAAAGAGAAATAGGAAGAAAGAAAGAAAAAAAAAAGAAGTACGACAATATAAAAGGAAATTTATAAAAATAATCAACCCAAAATTGATCAAGAAGAATGAGAAAAAACTGAAGAAAAAGAAAATACATTGAAAAATAAACGAAACTGAACTGTTTTTATAATTCGGTAGTCTTCTAACAGAGGACGGAAAGTGCGACACTGAGATCCGAACACATATTGCGATGGCCAAAGTTGCATCCTAAAAGCTGAGCAGAGTTTTAAGAGACAGAAAAAAAATCGTTAGAAGCAAAGAAAACAGTACTAAAATGTTACGTGATTGTTGCCTTCCTGTATGACAGCGAATGCTTGACAATCTTCATAAAAATGAAGAAGAGACTTGAAGCAGCAGAAATGTGGTTCTACAGAAAGATGCTGAGGATACTATGGACAAAATATGTGGGCAATAATGAGGTTTGTGAGAAAATGGAAACAAAAAAGAAACATAACATCAAGAAGAGAAGAGGAAGATTTCTGGGGGCACATAATAAGAAAGAAGGGCTTGGAAAATCTGTTACCCACAGGGACAAATTGAGGTAATGAGGGACAGAGGAAAGGAATGCTTGACGAGCTTGAACAAATTGATGGTAGAAGTGAGTTTGGGAGAGATAATAAAAAGGAAAAATAATTATTAAGAGGTACAAGGAAGAGGAAGATGTGGAAGGCCATGATCACTACGTTTTGAAGAGAGACGGCACATAGAAGAAGAAGAATTAGCTTGAGTAAATGGATGGTAGAAGATAGTTTGGGGAAATAACAAAAAGAAAAAAAAAACTTATTAAGAGCTTCAAAGGAGAGGAAGATGTGGAGGACCATGATTGCCTGAAGGGACATGGCACATAAAAGAAGAAAATATCTTCTGCCAAGTAATTATGTTTGCTAAAGATATCACCAAAATCAATTATAAAAGTCTTGCAAGCGTTCACGAAATATGGAATTTAAAGAGATTTTCAATTTATTATTAAGCTACCCTTATATAAAAAAAAAAGCTTTCCTTAGCATTTGCCGTTAAAAGAATATAACATTCAATATGTGTGCTAGGATTTTGAATCATGGATTCTTCTGCTAATTTTGGCTACGCGATGTTATAGGTTGCTTTTTGAAAAAAAAAGATTATACGCATAAAAGGAGAAGGTTGTCGAGTGTAAAGTCAGAAATAAGAGAGAGAGAGAGAGAGAAAATGAATCATGATAATTGTTTACAGCTAATAATCTTGGTTTTTATTATTAATGACTGGCAACCAGTATAACAACCAAAACTTACACTTATTCACCAATTTCTTGTTTTGACATGCCAGTGGCAGTTCGACGCTGAAGTGCTTAATGATGCAACGGGTAAAATTAGTTACCACCTCAGAAATTTGAGGTAATTTCCTCAATTCTATTTTGAATCCACAATCAAAGATAATTATAATGACAATAATGGATGAATATAGATGCAATATTTTGTAGAAGGGAAATAATTCTTCTTGATCAATTTATATAACATCACGTTCCATCGTCTCTTTTTCTCTCTCTCTCTCTCCCCCACTCTCTCTCTCTCATATATATATATATATATATATATATATATAAAGAAGTTAATAGTTAAATTAGACCAGGGAACAGTAGTATTTAAAAAGTGGTCAATACACATATAAAAAGATAAAAATTTTATATGTAGAGCTTTTACGTATACAAAATAAGGAAAACGACCAATACTGCTACCTTGGTCAGCCTTTCGGGTTTTTTTTAAACCTTTACAACGAGAGAGAGAGAGAGAGAGAGAGAGAGAGAGAGAGAGAGAGAGAGAGAGAGAGAGAGAGAGAGAAGAGAAAGATACTATGCTGGTCTTATGTCATTCAGGTCATCCTTGTAAATTGCCCTTAAACACAAAACAACATATCTATCTTCAATCGAAAAACATTCAGTATAAAAGAAATTCCGTTGATAAAATAATTTTTTTTATCTTCTCCTTCATCATTGGAGACGTCATTATACTTGACACAAAAATAATAATTAATGTCTCTGATCATAAGCAGAACTAATAGTTTCCAGAAAACATGACAGGCCGCAGCGTTCAGGCGATCAGCTCAGCCTTCCAAGAGTCGCGAATGTGACCATATATTGGTTTATTTCAGGGTCGTGATGGAAAATTAGGAGTCTCTGATTACTATCTCTCTCTCTCTCTCTCTGCAAAATGTGCGGTCGCTGTAAAATGGTTCAACACGACAAATTGAATGAGTCATCTCTTTGACCACCACCCACAAATTTATAACGAATACAAAGTAAGTCGACCTTTTTAATTCAATGGCTAACATATTTGGAGAAAAATAAAGTTTCAAAGTGGAGTCCAGTGAACGTATTTCATAGTGGAGATCAAACTTTACAATATAAACTTAATATCAAACTAAATCCTAACTTTGAACTTGAATATCTAACCACCAATGTTTAATTTCGTGTCGTTTGAAGTTAATGTAACACTAAACCTTGACATTATTCCTGTTTAAACAAGTATTACTTCGGAAGAATTTAAAAAATCAATAAAGGAAATAAAGACTGATCGAAAATAATGGTAATGACAAAACAATCATTTGGAATAAAATCGACGTTTACTTCGATTTGAAGAAGCCTTTTCTTTTTTTTATAATAGTGAAAGTGATTGAGACTACACTTTCGTAGCAATAATTCGCATAAACCCATACTAACTCATGTCCAGTTTTCTATTCAATTCACACATTAAATTGAACATGGGCGGTGAAATTAATTTTTCTGAAAGGTTTACAAACTATCCACCGATAGTAAATATTTAAAAGCTTACAATGATGGGTAAATTATGTTTTCACGGGCACTTTTCACGACTTTATAAATTCGAGATGGCCAATGTAATAAAAAAGGAAAAAGTATTTTATATAAAATAAAATTTATCCTGAGGTAATTTCTTAATTTTTCTAGAAAATTTGATCTCGGTCTTCTCTTATTTGACTTATAACCAAAAAATATTATTTGGTTTGAAAAACTAACTGAATGTTCATGACTCTTCACAAAATTATAGAAAATTCCAAAATATTCTTTGTTGGCAGGGAGATTTGTACCTAATCTCGATATGTGACCCAGTTATTCTCATGTAGCTTCGTGTTCGTTTGTGTTTTTAATACACGTTATTCATCTCCTTTGAATATTTTTTTCGAGTAGCGTATGTTGAAATACCATTTTGATATTCAAAATGCTATATCGTCCACCATATTTTCCAATCTCACCATTTTCTGCTTAGTTGCCCACCTAACTGTTGAAATCATCCGCTTTACCTAAATTTATAACCTACGACACGTTTTCGTTAATCTGCTAGAAGAATGGCGGATTAAAAAGAAAATCTCCTAAACATATCTAGCGATAATCCAAATAATATAGCCAAAACTTTTGAACATTTCACAAATCTGTAGTTTGAATGTTTTGGACATAATTTGAATTTAACCATTAAAAGGAATTAAAAGGTGCAGTCAAAGACTTCTTCTCTCGAAGATGGAAAGAAAGAAGAAACATGAATGAAAAACTAGCTACCAGCAAAGTGTGACATGATCTGATGCATACAATTTAAGATTTATGATCATTTACATACAAAATGTGTGGGCGGTTCCTCAATTGAAAGTAGGTAATCTATGAAATATTGGATAGAAAGAAAATTTATAATGTGCCTGACTATCATTTATGAAATCAAATTTGAAAATTTAGGAGTATCTCTTCGCCTGTTGTTAATGTGAACTAGTCATAGTCATACATGGATGTTGCAAAAGGGAGCTTGAATTATATCTTGACGACCCAAAACAAAATAAACAAACAAAAATACAAAACAAACTAGACACTTGAAGTCTTGGATCATCATATAAGTAAAACACTGACCGGGTGTTAATGATGGTAATAAAATTTATAGAAAGCAGTTGATCATTACTTATACGAACTAAAAGAATATATTTCTCTCTGGTTTAATTTAAAAAAGAAAAAAATTATGGGATGTGCTATGGTCTCACAATCCAGTTAATATTTGAATAAGTGTTTGCACTTTTATGAGGTACTGGCCCGTTTTCAGTAAAGTTTTAGGAATTGAACCAATGCCAAATCCGAAATCCGAAAAAAAAAAAAACGAAACCAGTAAAAATCTAATCTTATTAGTAAACAGGCGGACGAAACATCACCGAAAACTCAATTTTCTTCTTTCCTTCGTGTGTTGAGTTCAGAACGGATCTTCATAATAAAGTTCACTGTGTAAATTATTTAAAATGATTAAATGATAACTGCGCAGTATTTTCTCTTTGTTTTAATAAATTATTCATCTTAAATGATATTTTATTGTTTATTTTATCCATTTTCAATCAAGTTGGTCTAACAAAAATTGATAGTCTATAAAACTGAATTTTCTGAAGGCAAATAACTATTTAACGCAACTCACCAACACTTACGACACATGAGTGGAATAAAATAGTCACAATATGTATTAAACAACTTTTTCAAAATATCCACATCTCATTTAAAACACTTATGAAAGAGCCCTTATAATGTAATACTCTTCTTGTAACTATTTTGCGTTTCTCTTCTATTTCAAGTCAACTATTCTTAATATTTGATATGTTTACAGCGAAATTATAGCCTGATATGTAATGAAAGGGTAACTGTCACTATGCGCTTGTGTTCATTGTAGAAAGTAAAAATCCTCAAGTGAGCAAACATAATGCTTTTCTTTCTTTTAGGCGGAAATCTCTTGCGTTTTGGAAATTAATCATTGATATTCATTCTTTCTTTCGATTAAAACATAACTTTGCTTTTTTTATGGGGAGTTGCGCACCGTCAATGACTCAAGATGCGGAAACAAAGATATATGGCTTCCTTTTATGAATTATATACTTTATACAAACTTGGAGATGTACATGCTCGTGAAAACGCATATACACCAACTCGTATACACATATATAGTAACAGTTTTTAACTATACTTAGTATGGCTGGGCGATGGTAAAAACAAAATAAGTTTCAACTCTACTAGTGGTTTGGGTTGGATGAGGAGCTTATAGTCATCGTATTACAACAAATGTCTTAGGTACATATTTTACATTGTATATAAATTTGCATGAACAAAAAGTATAATATATAACAAAAAAAATAGTACTCACATCCCCAACTTGTGTTACATTCTCCATCTGAACACCTGCAAAATTAGTAATAAAGGATTTTTATAAAATTAAAGACAATTTTATCGGTAGTAATTATTTATTATGTACATTGACTGGCGATATCCGTTAGTTTTCAAGTTTGTGAGATTCTGTGTATGAACTCTATCAGAATTTCAGTAGGTTATGAGTCAAGGTCAGTTATCAGGTCATCCCATAAGTTCTGTCCGAATTTTGAGTAAAGAAAACAAGTAACCAAACGTTACATTTAATTACAGATTCAATCAACAATGTATTTTCCCTGATTATCTATGGTTTCCTTCCATCTATTAACAAGCTTACTAATTCCATTACTGTAAAATTCTTTTGGCTTTGATTCGAAGAACTCACAAATGTCAGTTTTAACCTCTTCCTGTGTTACAAAAGCTGTTTCTTCCAAATGATTCTGTAAGCTACGAAACAAATGTTAGTCTGAAGGAGCAAGATCGGTGGATGAGGAATTTTCTACCAACCAAGTTCTTCGATCTTTTGTGACGTGATTCTTGTTGTGTGGGGTCGCGCATTGTCCTGATGAAACATCACCTCTTTTCGATTCACTAGAGCAAGTCTTTTTTTCCTCAAAGCTTGGTTCAAACGCTCTAATTGCTGACAGTATATTTGAGCATTAATTGTTGCATTAGGTGGTAAGAATTCAAAGTGGATTATTCCTTGGCGATCCCACCAGATTGAAAGAAGAACCTTTTGCCCATGAAGTTTCCTTCTCGGCTGTGGCTGGGGCCCTTCCCCTTTACCAAGCCACTATCTACGACGCTTAACATTTCGATAACAGATCCATTTTTCGTCGCCAGTCACAAGTCTATCCAAAAAAGGTGAAACAAGTTTGCTAGAATGGAGAGAAGAGCAGATGTCAACTCGGAATTTGAGGTTGTTTTCAGACAATTCATGAGGCACCCATTTTCCAAGTTTAGGAACTTTTCCAAGTTGTTGAAGATGACGATGAACAGTTGTATGGTTTGAACTGAGAACCACTGCCAATTCCTCATCTGATAAAGCAGGATTTATTCAAGGGCTGCTTCAAGAAGCTTTTCATCAAACTCAACTGGATATCCGGTTCGATCTTCATCTTTAAGGGTGAAATCTCCACCTCTGAATTTTGCAAACCCTCTTCTGCAAGTTCTTTCATTCACACATTCCTCTCCATAAACTGAGTGAATGTTTCTAGCCGCTTCGGCTGCTAAGTTTCCTTTCCTGAACTCATAAAGCATTATGTGCCTCAAATGATTCTTGGTTACTTCCATGTTAGCAGGGTTTTAATTAAACAAAATTTGATTTTATTGTTCACTGAAATAAAATTTGATCAGTTTAAATGCATCTAAACATAAAAATAGTGTTCAGCTCCATTAGACATTATAAAATAGTCTTTAAATTTTGTTCATTTTAACAAAAAGTTAAAATTCGGACAGAACCCATGGGATGACCTGATAAATATTCTTTCCTTGCTTGTAAACATTCTGATGACGCTGTAGAAATAACTATTCGCATTTTTCCAATAGAAACATTCATCACATACCATATTGTGTTTAACATTTTGTTCTGCTCTGCATTGCTCTCGTGTATTGGTGACAAACTTGAAACCTATCAAAATCCTTTTACTTTCAAGTCAAAATTTGTATTCAATTATTGATTTATATATCAAGCACACAAATCTGTTTTTAATTTTGAGAATCTGTGGCTTATCAATAACCGAAGAAAATGATTGTGCAATGACAAAGAACTGACTTTTCCAAAACTATGATGATTCTTGAAAATGAAATCGATTTAATTGATTTCACTTTTTTCAGCCTGCAATGCCGAAGCCTACTCATTTTATTTCATCCAACGAATTAAGAAATACATTATTACTTTTACAAACAACTCCTTTGTGTAGTGTTAATGATAACTAGAATATATAAGGACATGTCTAATACTTTTGATAATATTTAAACGAAAATTTGATTTTTATTATTAACATGCGCATAATCAGAATCCCAGTAGTAAATATTATTACGCAGGAAAACTTACGTAGAAAGATATAGACACACATATACGCACATACACACAGAAACACGCGTGTGAACACACACACACACACACACACACACACACACACATATATATATATATATATATATGTATAGCAAACAATATCCAAAACACATCAAGATTCAGCTGATCAGCATGTTAGTTAAAGTTTACAGACATTACATATTTTAAAGACGTCATACAACTATGCAAACTCTTTAAATTTATGTAGTTTTTTAAAACATATAATATTAATAAATAAATTCGATTTTCATACATACTATCATCATGAGCAATACCATCTCCGAAGGTTTGAGTCGGGATGATAATTTTTGATAATTATGTTTAATTTATCTTCGATTAATGCTCTATTTATCAAATTGAGCACTTTATTTATAACAACTACTTGCGTAAAAAAACGTTATTGTTTAAAAATACACAGGTCGACGATTTTTTGACGAAACGTAATCTTTCTTCACGCATAAAACACACACACACACACACATATAGATGTTAAAATTCTGGTCAGCCTCGTTAAGGTGGATAACAAAACCAACGCCTTTGACGTATTATTCTTTAAAAGATCCCTTTTGTGTTCATATAACATTTTATTTAAATTCCTTGAGTTTTCTCCTGTGTATTCCTTGTGATAATTATTACAGTTATTATTACAACTATTATTTTATTGTTCTGGATGTGGAAGTAACACATATCACATCTACAATTGAAAAAAATCTATCTAAACTCAATGTAGAGTTGTTACTACAAAATCCAAAACAATAGATGACTTAGTCAATACTAAACAAAACAAGATGCTAAAAACTGAAGGAGGAATTTACTTTATCGCTTGCAATAATTGTCACAAAAATATATAGTAAAAGCCTCAAGGAATCTAAATAAAAGATTATATGAATAAAGAAGATATATTTTACAAGATTATATATATATATATATATATATATATATATATATATATATATGTATATAAATAAAAAAAGAAAGAACAGTAAGATATTAATCAATTAATTTATAATATATATATATATATATATATATATATATATATATATACGAAGGAGGTTCTGAAAAATTATCATTTTGTTCCACTTAAACTGAAATACTGACTTCATAAAGTGGATCGTGTCGAGAACGTTTCAGTACCTCTCGGCTACACTGCATATTATATAAAGAAGGATGCAAATATCCTCGTGCATATAAGGAAGATTTAGGTGACAAAAGTACTTACGATTCTTGTTTTTCATCTTGAATTTTGGGAACTGAAATTCAATAAATAATATAATCTTTACGAAAGCTGATTTAAAAACAGCAACAACATAATCAACCACCACACAAATAGAAATAATAATAAGAAGAAGATGAAGAGGAAAAAGAAGAAACGTTCTAATAGTAATGCTAATGTTCAGATTGACACCGAGGAAATGTTAGGTAGAAATTAGAAATGACACTAAAATATTTTGCCAAAATACCGACTAAACTGTAAACATTAACAGAAAAGGAAAGTTTAGTACAAAAATTAGAATGGAAAAGGGCAAGGTTCATAATATGAAAAGGAAATTTAATTCAACCCAATAATTCTGATATAAAACGAGAAAAAAGACAGAAAAACAATCGAAGAAGAATTTTAGAGAAGGAACTAAACATCCTCAATCCTATTGCATATATAAAACCAGGAGCACTATTTTTATAAAATATTTTTGAGAAAACGCAAGTTTGGATAAGGAGAGATGAAGAACGTTAATAGCCATTCATAAAGATGCTAATCATTAGAAATGACATCAAAAGACATTATGTGCCAAGAAAATGAATAAAAAGGGGCCCATCGCCATTGTGTTGATTTCGTTCTTATGGGACTTGAATGAAACAGAGGCTGAAAAAGTAAATAACAACATTGCCATAAAATCCGTAAATTAAAACATTAAAATGATAAATTTTAGGCTAGAATCATAAAAAATACCATAAATTAAAAATAGAAAAAAACCCTGAAAACCTGAGTTATATTTAATAATCTCTTCAGATATAGATTTTCATGTGGATGTTACGCATAGCTTACAACTGATTTATTAATGCCAAAATTATCATTTGTATACAACTGTTCCTTCGTTCGCGCCTGAATCTGCTGCAGTTATATCTCACCGTATCCACTACTACCATGTTTATCAGAGGGAACGGGGTAGCGGAACTCATATCTTATTCAGAACTGCCCGCAACCAAGAGGGTTCTGGGTAATGCAAAGAGTAGATATGCTCAGGAAATCCAAGCCAAAGTTAAAAACATTGAACTTTGACCTCGCGAGTTCTGTAAATCTGTAAAACAAAAAAAAAAAAAAAACCGTCTGATCCTTCCATTATAAATGGACTTGCGATTATCTCATCTTCATCAGATAAGGCTGGGCTATTCGGAATTAACTTTGCTTATAACCCCACGTTAGATTTATGAAGGTCATTTCTTACCTGACTTCCCTCACCTCACAGAGCACAATATCTATTTCGGCTCGGAAAGTATTCAGGCTTATCAAAAGCTTCAATTCTGTGAAGAATACAGGCCCGGATAAAATCCATGTCGTTGTTCTTAAGAACCTTAGGCCAGATCAATTTCCTATTTTGGCAAAGCTATTATTTACCCATTGCCTGAGGAAGAAATGTTTTCCGCAGGCCCATGTGTCAGCTGCATGACCTGTTTAAAAGGATCCTGCTGAGCGCTTGACCCCGTCACAATATCGCTCCCACCTCAGCCTCCTTAGTGTCATGTTCGGCGTTGGCATCAACAAAAAAATTGTTGGTCACCTATCAACAAAAATAGTCCCCTGAGCGACAAAGACTATTGTGTTCATTCCCCTAGATCCAATTCTGATGTATTAACTTTAATTCCGAATCGAATTTGCGAAACGCTTGAAAATAAGCACATAGCGTGAGCATTAACACTCTCGAAGGCTGCAAAATCTCTCTGGCTGTGTAATTTCTGGAAAAGCTTTCTTAGTTATCGTCTTTTATATCAATTAGGTTAATGATGGACAATATTAATGACCAATCCTCTGAAGCAACGATGATTATGCCTCTCCACCAAGTCTCTTTCTTCGGTCCTACCCTCTGTCTGTTTTATATTAACAGTCATTCAAAGAAAAAATTTCAGATCTGTAAATATATATGCAGATGATATCATTGTGTATGGTTTCACCTCTAAAAATCTGGACGCCAGGAGCCTAGCAGCAGATCTCTAATCTGACCTAGCTTTCACAGCTCACTGGTCTGATCTGTATCATTCAATACTTCAAAAACAAAGCCTGTAACCTTTTAACACTAATGAATAGATATTACATTAAATACAGTCCTGATGAGCGGACGTACCCTCAATGAGGGTATGTCATTGCGACTCAAACTCACTTTGCGACCTCAAATATATTCGTACCATTGGTAAAGACGCTGGAAAAATGGTCGGTTTCTCGTATCGCTCCAGATTATACCTAACTCCTAGTGTCATACTTTCTTTTAACAAAAGTCACAACAAACCAAGAATACCTACCTCATAGTACGATGCTCTATCTTTACAAGCCTCAAATCAGACCAGATATGGAGTATTACTTCTATAACTGGGTTGGTGATGCCTGATGTCTTCACTGTACAGAAGTAACACATTTTTAAAGTAATTACGCGGCCTTGTGAGTGATGAATTTCCACTCAGAAACTCATTTCCCACATAAAAATGTTGTTAACCTCTCACTCTTCTATTTACAAATGTTCACACGAGCTAAATTCCGCCAACACAAACCTTTTCAATTAGGACTCGCCTTGCCACGTACACGCCGCCAAATAATTCTAATTTCTGTCGTATTCCTTTGGCAATGGGAAAGTTTCATTTAGACTGCTTCTTCTCCAGAACGGCTATTCTGTGGAACAGACTCCTGAAACGTTGCTTCCTCGATCACTAGGTCTCTTCAAGTCTTGGGCTAACCGATATTTATCTTACATATCATCATCATATACACCTCTTTCTCTTCCTGTACCCCTTTAAAGTATCTCAATCAGTAACCATCAATCTTGAACAACAGTAAAATATATATATATGTCAATGATTAAAAATGACTTCAAGCGAATGAATTCTTTATGTCAATCCTTCATCCGATCCTAGAGTATCACTACAAATCAAAAAGAACTATACCAAATAACAAAAACAAAAAAACAAACTCATCCTCTGAATACCGGATGGTATATGTAACTATAAGAGAAAATAAAAATATAAATAAGACGTTAATTTTCCACATTGTCAAAAACAAAAGGTTTGAAAGTGTTATACCTGACGTACCTATTCTATTATTAATAGACTCTCCCACACATAATAAGTAGTCGTAGTAGTACCGGTTGCCAGTTGGGCTGAGTAGTGTTGAGTGAGTCAGACAATATCGGACATTGAAGTACCAACCATCACAACTAGATTGCTGCGTCATTAACTCTTATTTCCAAGTTCCTAACGTTTTTTACGTCGAACCTAATTTAGGACGACTTATTGAAATACAAGCCTCCACTGTGAAAACTACTCTACAACAGAAAGGTAACTACAATCGATACTCGAACGAGCGTTAAAAGTTACTGGACTTGAGAAATTCTAATTTCAACCGACAGTAACACTAACTATTCAATCAATGAATATTAATTTTTTTCAGTATGGAAATGGCTGATTTCATTATTACTATTACTACTGAGGAGATTGTCCTCACTTGATCTTCAACTAAAATGTGATTACACAGAAATTTAAAGTTTAGACTAAATTTATTTTCCCGAAAATTAGTTTCTTAACGTTTCGTACCACAGAAACGTAAAAAATAAAAAATAAAAAAAAATAACAAAAATCATACTGTACTAATATATATATTTTAAAAACCTGACATAATTTAAACCTTGCAGAAACTTGTTATATGAGAAAATTATCTTTCATTTCAAGGAAATATTTACAAAGCTTAACCTATTTTGGTACTGGTCATTTTATGAAGTCCCAGTTCACCAGTAATGACCGATGAAATGAACTAATCACTCGATCAGCCGTGACAGGTAAATCAAGAAAGAATTGATATATACTTGTAGAATTATGTAAGCAGAGAAAAAAGTAAAAGAAAACATTGGATATTGTATTGGAAATTATCTTCAGTCATTTCCACACATTATAAATACCATTGAAAGCCCTGAAAACATCATTATCATTTTATAAGTTTTTTTATAAACATAAGTTTATAAAATAGTAGTTAAAAACATATTTAAAAAATAATCATAATTGTTCAGGACATAGACGATATCATCGCTCTCAATTCCTTCCTTTTCTTTACTATTTATGGTCGTGAATCACTATGGCTATTATTGGAAAAGGTAGTGGATTTTCCCATTCACAGGTTTGAATTCAGATTTCTCCTTTTCCGTGATCTACAAAGTAAAGTGGGGCCCGTTTTAATATTTTACCCATATCAAGTGGGTAAAATGATATTGATTCAGCCATTTCCTAAGCTCATCAGCGCAAAGTAAACATAAAATCCTCACGTGGATTTGAAATCGAACTGCCAATTTCATTTTGTTTTCTTATAACTGCAACGCTATACGTACACCCAAACACGTATTACTTATGACAAATACATGGTGTGAATGTTAATTTGCTCGCTTTAAGTTGCTCGTAAATGGAAGAATTGTCTTTAGTAGGATTTTGCTTTGATAATGAATGTATGGTTTGTTGTGTTTAATAACAGTAGTCTTGTCTTTCAAGAGGTGTTTATGGGGTGATTTAAAAAACAAACCAAAAAAAAAAACATTAGCATGATACATTTTAAAAAGAAGTACTGTTCATGAAACTGCAACAGGATTTTAAACATCGCTTTTACTAACAGTTATTGCTGAAGAAGTGGCATTTTTCTTTTCGCAATTTTATATCAGCACAAATATAATACATCTTTTGGGTGATATTTCTATGATATTCTTAATCATTAACGTAACATCTGAGATCTGGCTCTTAAATATTGTCTGTTTAGTACATGAATAAATATAAGTGAATTGAGTTGCTACCAAGAAGACTTAATGAAATATGAAGATGAATATTAAATTAAACGTATAAATTGTTAACAGAATAAATGAAAGATGGGGATGAGATGATATTAAGCGTGACTGACAGAAAACAAGTATTAATACAACATTTCTCACGTGGATGTTTTAAAATGTGAGACTAATATTTTGTATGGCATCGTATAAGAAGAGATTAGTGAAATAGGAATGATTTAAGTACCTAATAAACACATAATAATACCTGATTTCGGGAAAGTTTATATAGCTAAGCGAAGAATTGTGGAGGCGGTTCCTTTTGCGTAAACCAAAAAGTAATCCTGCAGATTTAAATAGTCTGAAGACAGAGGGCATCAAACCTCACAGTCATTAAACAGAACTTTTACTAAAAAAAAAAAAAAAATAAGAATCATAAAGGAAATAAATTTCTAAATTGAAATATCTTGCAATGAGTATAAATATGCCCTCAAAGAGGCTAACCCCTTGTTTGCTGATAATACAACAAAGTTTGTTCTCATGACTACTGGCGGCTCTGTAATAGTGTGCTAAATCGTAAGTCTTCAGTTCCCCCTTTCTTCACTGAAATTGCGATGTTAACATCGGCTGATAAAGCAGAATGTTTTGCTAATAAATTCTTTTCAAAATTTACTCTTGACTCGTCTGGATTATTTTTGCCTGACTTTCCACTTAGAACGGATTTTCTTTGAGTGGTATGCATATAACTACGTCCATAGTTTCTGCTATAATCTAATCAAAGAATGTGGAGTTGATTGTAATCCCAGCAATTGTCCTTAAGAAATGTGTTCCGGAATTGGCTCTTGTTCTCTCCAAACTCTACAATAAATATTTCGCTTTTCTTGCTTTAATGCCTGCTGGAAATCCTGGTTTTGTAGTTCCAGTCTTTAAGACCTCAGCCGAACCGTCTGATAACTTCTAGCTATCGGTCTATTATATTTCTACCTCTTTCTGGCAAAGTACTAGAAGCTCTTATTCTGAATTTCTTAAGAATCTTACCTTACAAGATCTTCTTTCCGGTAAGAAATATGACTTCTGATGTATGAAAGATTATTGCTGAAAGTATCTTTCAAGATTTGATAGAAATGGTGAAGTTCGAGCTTTGGATATCTCGAAGAAATTTGACAGGGTTTTGCATATTTTTTTACAAGTTGAAAGGTTATAGTTCTCAACTAGGCATCAGTGCTGATCACACGACTATTTACTCCTATTTTAATAGTAAACCTGATCGGTTCGATAAGATCAAATTGGCAGTTGATTTTTAAAATGAGCTTCAGTCTGTTACTAACTAGGAAAAAGAATGGCTTGTTAACTTGAACGCTTCCATTACCTTCTCCTAATTTTCGAAACTCCTCCTAGGAGACGCTCTCAGGACTATAAATACTCTGCGACAATATTTTATCACTCTTTTCTGATCTTCTCCGCTTTTTCATCAACATGTAACCTCTCGCAGAGAACATGCTTCCCTTTTGGGAAACGCATGAGCAACTCACACACACACACACACACACACACACACACACACGTATGAACACACATTCACTCACTACACATACTTTGGACCATGAGGTTTCACATACATGTAACACATATTGTCATTGTCACTTGTAACCCTTTATTATTATCATTTGTTTTATTGGTTCTTGTTTCTCATTTATTTACGTGGACTCACATCCCAAGTCTACCATATTTGCTGTGGGCATTTCAGGAGACAAACGTGTTTATCTCTCAACGCAGATACCGACCCGCAACACCTTCCATCAGCATGGCTGATGCTAATATCCAGGAGAGTGAATCCTTATGCCTTCTTGGATTAACGTTTTCCGCTGATATAAAGTGGAAATATTATATTGAATCTATTGATAGGTCTTCTGCTAGGAATTTTTCTCACCAGAGAATATACTTATACGTCTGTCATTCGTCCTTCCTTAGGATATTACTGCTACGTCTGGCCTGGTGCTCTTACTATAGAGATTGTTGATGAAATCTAAAGAATAATCTGCAATATTATTGTTCTTGACCTGGCATCTCAGCTTCAGTCACTTTCTCACCGCTGTTGTGTCTTTTCTATAAGTACTGTCATGGCAATTGTTCTGAACTTTCTTCTATGGTACCTAGACTTTATGAAGTTAAGCGCAAGATTGGCAACAAGGTCTTATCATTTTACAGTTGAAATGGCAAGATGCAACCGTAAGTTCTATGCTTACAGTTTCTTCTATCAGACGTGTCGCTTATGGAACTCTTCCGGCTTCTTACTTCCCAGTCATATTTGTTCTTCAAAAATCTAAATGCGATGCCAGTTGTTATCTTCTCTCTTCTTAATAGTGTTTTTCTTCTCACATTCTCTAACATTCAGCAAACCCTTGCTTTATTGCCTTAATTGGGATGAAATGATTAAAAATATTTGAGCCTAAGATGAAGGAAAAGCTTCTATTTAATGAAATTAAATATGAATAATAATTATGAAGAATATAATCAAAGATGTGTTGAAAAATGAATGACAAAGAACCGAAGAAGCACGTGGAGATTGCATGTATTCAGCGTTAAAATAATAATAGTAATCGTAAGATTTTTATTGTTTATTTATCGTAGGTGTAAATATGTGAGCATAATATTCTGAGCAAGAAAATGAGCGGATATACTATAAGAAAAAACCTTTTCGTTTCTGTTAAGTAGATCACTGTCAGAAAGAAAATAACAAATTGACATAAATATAAATGTAGTGAACTTGCCTCTTACATTTTTGTTTGTATAATGGATTCTGCTTCTCCTTAAATACGCTGTACAATTGTATGCAGTTGTTTATTATTGTTTGTTTATATGTTTAGTGGCATATCAACTTCTTATGGTTCATTTAATGTCGATATTTTATTTTCTTGGGAATATTAATAATTTATTTTACAAAAAAAACTATTGCTGGAAATGTATTATTTTCAAAAATGTATTGCTAGTAATTTCATTCTTTTACAAAAATGTATTTCTGGTAATTATTTTGCTATGAAAATATATTGCTGGTATTTTTACTATAAAAATATATTTTTAGACTTTCATAGTGTTTTGACGTCAGTTTGGGTTAACTATTTGCCCATATTTGGGTCCCAAGCAGGTGCTGCCACCGCGGATCAGGGTGAACCTGGAAACACCAAAAATTAAGAGGTGATGCCACGCTCCTCAAACCCTTCCGATCAGAGACATTACTTCCGGATGGAGTTTATCGTCATACCCAGGACTAAGTTGTCCATTGTAGGATAAAACCTAAAATTAGTTTTATTACTTCGAAAAATGAAATCTAATCTTAGCCATCACATGATATAGACCATCAAATCATAAAGTAAATAAAGAAAACGTCTACTAAAATAAAGTTAGAATGATAAAGGAAATGAATTTTTAAATTGAAATTACGTAAATGCTTTTAAAATTCCTTTTAATAAAAAAAAAACTTGTTACCTTAACGTAAAGCTTCATTATCAAGTGTTTATGGTTTAAAGGCTGAATTTATTGTATGTAAACTAACAAACAGAAGCCTATTATATTTCGGATGTTTCTAAAAGTAGACCGAAAAGTTTACTTATTTGTCTTAAAAAAATTTAAGTGTTAGGGAAGGGCGTGGAAGTTTTATTTTTATTTTTGGCGTTCCTTCCTAAAACCAAATAAAGTATAATTTACTTTATTTGGTTTTAGGAAGAGAAAATTTATTTTTTTCGACTAGTTAACATAATTGCAATTACCTGATTAAAGAGTAAACGATGTCAGACTAATTTTAAATGCACTTACCTTCACAAATGATTCCTGGTCGTTTGAACAGTTGTGGAGATCTGTCGTCATACTGACTTTTGCAGGAACACATGTAACTACCTGGATAATTAATACACCAAGCCTTTGGAGAACAGTCATGAAGATGGCTGTAATCGCATTCATTGATATCTGGAAGAAGAATTTTATATACAAATAAGTGGAAAGCACTGGAGGAAATCGAATAGAAAGAATAACATTTTTACCAAGTACTTATTAATGAATTTGCAATGAATTTCGTTTTTGTGTGTTATGTTTTATGTGTTAATTCACAGCTTATTTTCAGTATTAATATGAAATGTTTCACTCGAGATCGAATTAACAATGTACAATTGAGAAAATTTCCAGAAAAATTATTTGCTTAAAAACGTGCTAAAAAGCAACATTAACGTTAATAAGCAAGTCATAATTAAATCATTCCAGTGATATTTTATTCAAAATATTACGTTTATTCGGTATTTATCATGTGATGAAATTAGAAACTTTTAATTTTAATTTCATTCGAAAAGATTGATTTTGATTTTACTGGGCCATTTGTGATATATGAAGAGGTATTTTAAATATATCGCTCCAAACAAAAAAGATGTGTACAGTTTACGAAGAAGGTAATGTGTACACCTAAATTCATGTAATCGGGGCATCAGGGAAAATGCTTGTTAGAGAAGTTGCCATGAAAATATTTATAGAAAATGAGATAGGGAAGATAGGCCACGTTGGTGAGAAAGTGACTGAAGTCAGGATCGATTACATTGTAGATGATTCGTTGGATATTATCAAGGACCTCAAGATGAATGGCAGGAGCACCAGATATGGAAGCAACATTCAATGAACGGCATTTTTTTTCCTGTTACATTCCTTTTAGTATTTTTAATTTTCCAATTATAAATTTCTATGAAGATAAAATGTTAGGGACTCCAATGCTTAGAATAATGGATATTTTCTATAACAAACACTAATTATGTTATAAATTCCTTTAATAATTTTTATGAATGAAGCATGAAAACCGAGCGATACATTAGAAAGATCAAGCAGGGGGAGAAAAGGACTTGCTATGAACGTACTTATACGAATTTGAAAAAAAAAACTTTTAGAATTATTTTTAACCTAGAAAATGCTTAGTGTATAAATGAAATAATAATATCAGCCTCACAGCAAAATACGAACACCTTGAAAAGGAGTTTTTAAGAATTACTGACTGCATTTATCTTACAGAAAAAGAAAATGCCAATGACATCAAGACATAAATTAATCATGAAAAGATTAATTGTTAATATGTTAGGCGTATGCAAAACTAGTTGGGTAAAGAATTGAGATTTCGTCAATGACAAACACAGGTTCAAATTGGTTGGCGGAGAGAAAAATGAGAAGCGAGTAGAACTTGTATTGGACTAAGAAACTAAGAAATGTGTTTCTGGAATACTATCGCAAAAAAAAAGGAAACGTTCACGAGAAACTAAATAAATGACAGGAGAACTAATATCATGGATACTTGTCAAAACACTAATGCATATGGGAATCTGATGGATGGATGAGTGGGTAGTGTAGCGGTTAGTGATTCGGAAAGAGAACTCAGCGAAGAGATTTCGAATCCCAGCAGATATTGTTACATTTACTTTCACACAAATAGCTTTAGGGACGGTATGAATTCATCATGCCCCCCTAGTTATGGACTAAATAGCAGAACACAAGTGGGCAATCAGTAAAAACCGTTTCGTAGGTAACCCAAGCGAAGTGCATCCGATATAGCCATTGAAAAGATTATAGATTTTACAATTACATTTGGCGCGGGGTTGTGGATTCTATGATTCCGTCTGTGGTCGAATAAAAAATATAGACTAAATTATTATTTAGAAATCCTTTAAAATTGAAACGCAAGGTACGAGCAAATGAGTTTCTTACAAAAAATAAACTGAATGCATCAATAAGTTTTTTTTTTTCCATTTTAGTTTTATAAGTCGTCGGTTATTTCATGTGCCGCTAAATTTGCAGTCTTCAAATGAATTTTAAAAACAAACCATCGCAAAAATAAATGTTCCTTCCCAACAAAAGGTATCACTCTTTAAATGAATATCAATAGATACAAACCTTCAATAAATACATTCTCATTTATTGGAAATCCAACGCGTAATTTACTATCGCCAACTTCCCCATCTGTTCTGAAATAAAAAACAAAACGTGCTAATAATAATTTCGTTATTTTCATATTTTTAACTCATATAAATTAATACATTTTTGAATGTATTAGTAAAACATTAGGTTTGATTGTTTCGTTTTCTACGGCTTATCAACCCTTTGCAGGTTATTTAAGGCCAGGAATATTTAAATTGTAAGAATCATTGTGAGGGAGATAATAATTATTTAGTGCTACACGTCTTCCTAATTAACCCATAACCGAGAGATATGAAATGGATTCATATTTGTCCCAAGGATATTTGTGCCTAAGTAAATATAACGAAACCAATTGAAATTGAAACACGCCTCTCCGATTAACAATTCCGAGTCGTAATCTATTACACCACCTGCAAATCCAAGCTTGTTCCCAAACAGTCACCTACCTAGGTATTGACCAGACTCGACGTTAAGAAATTAGAAAATATCTGATTCATTACGAACAAATTAGTACAATTTGGTAACAATACTGCATTTAACGTTGCATAACAAGAATTTGTAGTTTCTGAGAATTCTGAAAACAAAATTACTTTTGGCATTTTACCTATTCTGCGTCTGTTAATTTTCTTTCTTATTGAAATCAGACACACACACAAATATATATATATATATATATATATATATATATATATATATATATATATATATATATATATATATATATATTCCATCCATTAAAACATATGAAGACTTACTTTTTTCTTTCAGTATTTTGCGTTGAAAAATTGAGTTGTACTTTATAAATCTGGCATTAATTAATTGGCACATATACAATTTAACTCCCCAAACATACAGACATAATGATTAGTTAGGTGATTACAGAGTACAGTCATCTGCTAGTATTAGTTGGCTAATCCCTGCTGCAGACACCCATTCAGGAACATTTGTATTTCTTCAACAGAATCAACCTATACGAGTTATGTTGAGCAGATCTTAATTACAGTTTCTGGGTGAGAATGCTTTATCTGGTGTGATCAACAGTTTTGCCAGTATATGTAACCTCGGTCGCGCAGACTTGTAACAGCGTGCTAGCAAACAGTTTTATCTACTAAGTCGTTGTAAATTTTGTAGGCACGCAGGAATCGTCTCACCAGGTCATTTGCTGAGAAAAACGATGGTGAGATTCGAACTCGACTCTAATGATTACATCTCGGTCACGTGCCCCGACAAGCACAGTTTCTATTATGAAACTATGTCAACCTTCTTTTATTGCAATTGAAGATAATTTTAGGAACAGATTATAATTAGAACAAATTACATAATATTGCTTTCTTTTCGTAGAAAATAGAGTAATAAACATAAAAATTATTGTGCGACAAAACGGATCTTTTTATGTTCAATAGAAAAAAACACTTTGAAATAGCACCAGAATTGAAAATCTAACCTCAGACCATTTAACTGTGGCCTTGATTTGTTAACCTTTGAAATATTACGGAATAAAAGCATTTTAGTATATGTAATATCAATTAAAGAAACATTTAGTAAGTCAAAATTAATGAATCAAGTATTTGTGCACAATATTTTGATTTTCATGAGCTATCCTGTAAATCCTACAATGTTTGGCAAATCTTCGCGTAAGCGGCGTAAAATAATAACTGGCAAACCAACACTAGCGATATATTTAACGGATATCTATTGCCAGTAATGACAAGAAATCTAGTGTTTATGAGAAACAAGAGAAATCTACAGACAGTCGTTTAATGTTTGGGATTTCTACATCGATGATGATTATTAAATGTTATGAAAGATAACTAATTCCGGGCCTACCTGTTAAGAAATGTCACCAGTTTTGCGATGATGTCCTCTGCAGTCAAATTGGATTTTTCTAATAGGTAAACTAAGACTTCTGTTTTGATGCCAGCTTCTGGGGTCAATAAGGTTATGTTAAACAGCTCGTTGCTTAAATAACCAAACTTTTTCAGTGAATCAAACACCACATCAATCTGAAAATAAAATATTTATAATAATGATATTGTTGATAGAAATACAATTTAAGCAAATACCTGAATAAAATATTTTTCCCCTGCAATACATTAAAGTATTTATATCTAATTTTATGTAATGTGCAGGCATATTACAATTATCTCTTTACATTAACAGCGTTGTTACAGATTTTAATTCTTTGGAACAGTTTTTATTAAAATATTTTTCATTGATTACTTCGGAACGAACAAAGATGTAATACTTCAAATGCAAAACGCACGCGCACACATACACACACACACACATACATACATACATACATATATATATATATATATATATATATATATATATAAAAGTGAGTACTTTGGACAACACCAAGCGGCGACAGTCTGTTTCATGCTTCAACGCAATCTTCAGATCACATTTTATCTATGATATTGTGCACTTTTAACCATAAATATAGCGTAACTTAAAAGCTATATTTTTTATATATTATATATATATATATATATATATATATATATATATATAAAGAGAGAGAGAGAGAGAGAGAGAGAGAGAGAGGCCCTGTATATCAAAAGCAACCAATCAACATTGAACAATAAATCATGATGTAAATAAAACAATCTTTTTACATGAAGTCGCCTAAGTTTCGTACAGTTGGAGTGGAAAGCACAAAAGAAATTCAATTGTGAAAATAAATTCTGTCAGCTATTATTTCACTTACAGGCATACAAATTAAATCGTTAATATAAAAGTGTTAACTGCAGACGCTTCTTGCAAATTCAGAGTTTTCGTCCCATCGAAGAGGGATCTAATGATTGCAGGAACATTTGTATTTCTTCAACAGAATCAACCTAGACAAGGTAAATATGGTGTTCGAAATTGCTTGAAGAAAATGTAAATCCTAAGTAAGATTAAAATACACGTAATTATGCCATTTCTGTTTGTAGATTACCCTATAAAGTAGGAATTCTCAACCAAGGGTGGGGGAGGAACTTCCCTTTAAGTAGATTTCAGAGTTTCATGTCAGAGACAAAAAATCTTTTACTCTTTCTTCTTGTTTTTTAATTACAAATTTTTGTTTATTGAATTACAATACTTTGACATTCTATTGAAACTTTGGCTTATTGAAGTATGCTTCAGTTTATTTATTTAATAATTATTTATGAATTAAAACGATTTATTATACATATATTTAATTTAATAAAATCCCTCAACATTTTATTACTGTTAAATTTGTAAAACTCCTCTATAAAATACTCCAGGTAAATGTATATGTACCTATATGGAAAAGAATGAGGAATGCTATAGTGTTTAGTGCCACAGCCTCAGCACGGTATGGATTACTGTTGTTGCTTCAGTAGCAAGTAGGTTTGGTGGTGGAGTTGCCAATTTCACGCCAAACATGCTTTTATATTCAAAGCTGTCCTTCTCCTAGACTGGCTACCAAACAAAGCTATCCAGCCCAGCCTGTTCTGTTACTCCTTTCCAGGGATGAGGGAAGAAATAGATTTATATATTTCCTAGGGTATTTCTGTGAATACGAACGTAACGCCATTTGCTGAAATTTTAACTCGATACACCAAATGCATTTTCCGCCCCGATAACCGCTACGTTATAATTAATTTAGTAAAGGAAACACTCTTAAATGCTATAAACGTTATATTTAGTGTCTACACGTATTTGAGTTGATACAACTGTTATTTTAAACAGGGCAATTAATGTCAAGCGGCCTAGAGGTTGAGAATTCCTACTAAAGAAATTGTAACAGAAATCGAACCTGTATTCTTTTTTCCACCAGGAAAGCACTCTTTAGCTGAGTCGACTCTACCAATTAAAACATGAGATACCATCATGATGAAGCAAAGTTCAATGACTTTTTAAGAAATGCAGATTTATTTTCCTAATTAAAAACTAAACATAATAATCTATAAGAAGTTAATGTTTTTCTTTAATCTGGCATTATATCTTGTTAGTATAAAAGTGAATTTTTATTATAGCAATAAAATATAATATCGGATTAAAAATATATTAATTATTTTATTTAGCTTTCAGGAACAAAAATAGCGTTCAGTTGGTAAAGATTCTTATTGCAAAATAAATTAGCGTCGGGCTGAATAAACATTGTGCTATTAAAAAATCTACCAAACAATATTAAAAGTGAAATGATGCCAATATCTTAATTAGGGTGGTAAACCCACTGGAAAGAAGGATATACGAAACTCAAAAGAGAAATTGACGAATGCAGCAGACCAAATAAATAGTATGCCAGTATCAAAAAACATTGCATTGCATAAATAAGAATTTTCTAGGGGAAAGAATTGAAAGTGATATTAAGATATCGTGAGAGAAACTGCATTTATAAAAACTGCATAGATTGATACTCCATCTTTTATAGCCCAATATGAATTTGTCCATGTTTGGAAGACATTCACAGTAACATTTATGATAAACTTTCATTTCTCATCAGTCTGTGGTTTCAGTTTTTAGCATATAAAAAGACACGCACTTACATGTTTTTATGTATTGTGATTAACTCAATTTTGTCGTTACTACACATACATGAAACACACAGTGAGGACTTAACTCACTCATCAGTAGTGAGATATGCGAAAACAACATGTTAACCATTAATATCACGAGGTGGAGTCAAGCTGTGTCTGTAAGACATAGAGAAACTACGCCTCTTTATAGACTTAAACAAGACTCGATAATACGGATAAAATCCGACATAATAGTGGTGTCCGCTCATATTCATCTAAAATTTACGTATAAGTCTTTTAATATTCTTATATTTTTGCTCTGACTTACATAAGATTGTTTAAAATAGCACGAGAATTTTTATAAAACCATAAGTTTTTAATTTATATTTTGCAGCGATGTTTACCCCGACCAGCTGCATATGTCAAGCCAGATAAAAACTGTGTAAGTTAACCAACAAAAGTATTGTCTGTGGAGGGTCATGATTGCCTCTGCTCAGAAGGGGCATGACGTTGAAGAATAAAAATACAATCTGTTATTATGATAACATCTCATCCGATATTTTTCTTTTTTGCCTTAAGATATTTTTCTAGTTTTATATGATTAAGTATAATGAAAATTGACAGCTTCAAGAGTTATGTCAGTACTTGATGTTATCAAACAAGAGATGGCCTCTCCCTTTCATTAAGTATAAAGCATAAACATGTTAAACTCATCAAGTTTGTATACATTTTATATTTTTTCGAAGAAAATACAGCTAAACTCGAACTTAACATGCTAAGGTATGGCAAAGAAAGAAATAAGGATTTAAGTGAAAAATTGGCGGTTTTCTACTCTTGCGCTTAAACCTGGTTTCTTGACTATTCTTGACTAATCATGAAAAGTTACTTAGCGCAAATATTAATTCACACCAAGAAATTACAAATTTTAAATCAAACCTTATCTGTTTTTTATTAAATTTTTGGTACACTTTTGAAATTATATTCAGGGAGTTATTCACATTTCGTAAGTGCGGATGATATTCGAGGTACTTACAAGGAGTTTTTTTACAATTAAAAAAAAAAATGTTTTTTTTTTTTTGTCGGGGTGAGCGCGAACGTGGACCCCGCATTTAGAATTAACGCACCCGGGACGCCCAAATTGGGGGCGATTGCAAAGGTCAACCCATCCCGAGTGGAATGGACGGTCCTTGCTCTAGGAGAATTTGGTGTGAATTGTAGTAAATATAAATTCTTTTTATTTGGGGGTGAATTAACAGAGAAACCCGAAAGTTTTTTAAAATGCAACACAAGTTGTGGTGTAATAATTCCGATTATTTTTTAAATAATGCTATTTTGTTGCCGTAAGATATTTTCTACGCTGCAAGAAGTAATAGATATTTTAAGTAGAATATCTTAGTGTTTGCCAAATAATTTAAATCCCCAGCCATCTTTTACCTTCCTTTCTTCGAACCAAAAGTGTAGAATGTAACCTTTAGAAGAAGAAAATAAACAAAGGAAAGACAAAGTAAAATAAACTTTATAGAAAAGAAAAAAAACAACAACATTTATTTGAGTCTGAATACTGAAATCTGCAAACAGTTATTACACTTACTATCTTGCTTTCTCTCTCTCTCTCTCTCTCTCTCTCTCTATATATATATATATATATATATATATATATATATATATATATATATATATATATATATATTGCGTGTGTGTGTGTTAGCTTTCAGCTATTAATGATCTGGGTCTGCCGACCTTCAGCATCAGCCAAAATCTGTGAATAATTTGTTTTCATGGTCTTTCAAAGAAAACCTAAAACTTGATTTATAGCCAAAAGAAGCGCTAACATCTAACTATGGTCAAATATCTGCTCAAACCACTTCTGTACTGACGCCAACAAGTCTTTTTAGACGATTGAAAGTAGATAACTAATAACTAAGTAACGATATTTGGGAAAAGAATAATGGTATATACATATATTATTATTATTATTATTTTAAGTTTATTGAAATATGGCAAATCTTGTAACACTTTTTATTTCTAGCAGAAAGAAAACAATTTTAAAAAGTTTAAAAATTTAATTCTTCTTCTATGCGCCATGTTCCTTTAGAACGTTGTCAATCGTGGATCTCCACAATTTTCTGTCCTTTGTAAATCTTAGGAAATATTGTTTTTTGTTATCTCTCCTAATCCTTGTCCTGCCATCGATTTACATAATCTAATCTCATCTGTACATCTTGCCTTCATATCTACATAATCTCATCTGTATATCTTGCCTCCCTATGTTGGCCCAAAAATTTGGTGCAAAAACTTTGGCTTTGAATGAAAACTAGATTTCATAAATAGACAAAATTGTTTTACCGCCATTTGTTAATATAAATTTATACGTTTAAAATTTATGAAAAACAATTATAATAAAAGGAAGTATGTTTAGACATGGGTACATCGTTTTTTTTTTCAATCTTTAAAAACAGAATTTAGTAACTAGAATCTTAAGTTGTGACCAAATCATTATTACCGGCACCCTTATGGCCATTCACTTGAAT